AGACACTAAATACCATACAAAACTCCAAATGAGTTCATGCAATCCTGAAGCCAGCTTGTGTTTTATGGGACTAGACTGTAAGTTAGTAACTGTGATCTAAGATAATACCATCAACATTTTGACATTAACTGAAATCTTATGGTTTTTGTTTGTTTATTTTTTTGAAATCTTATGTTGTAACCAGTTTTGCTTGTGGTTTTTGTATGTCATAAGCATTTCCTAATCATCAAAAGCTCTGGTTAAAGAAATCTTTGATGATGACATACCATTGTTTTCAATGTAGAAATAATTTATTGATTCCTCCCTGGTGGCTCAGTCAGTAAAGAGCCTGCCTGCAATACAGGAGACCTGGGTTCAATCTCTGGGATAGGAAGATCCCCTGGAGGAGGAAATGGCTACCCTCTCCAGTATTCTTGCCTGGACAATTTCATGGACGAAGGAGTCTGGTGGGCTACAGTCAGGGATCACAAAGAGTTGGACATGACTTAGTGACTTAGCCGTTTCACTGTGTTTCAAGTATTGTCTAATTGGAGGGCCGTAAAGATAAAATGGCTTGTGATTTCTGCTTTGCTCTTGAGCTACAGATCTCTTTATGAGGAGAGTTAAGTTGATTTACTTTATTATCTTAATGTTGGAAATTAAGATGGTTTATTTTTACCATTGTTACAAATAGTACTGCAGGGATCACCTTTGTGCCTAGCTCTCCTGTATATTTCTGTTACGTTGCTTTTGTAATTTTTAGAAGAAAAGTTGCTGGGTAAGAGGATGTCAGTCTCTGGAAGGCCCTTAAGGTTACATGTTCACTAAACTGCTTTCCAGAAAGGTTTGTCAGTTTACTTTCTCAGATAATGTTGTGTGTTAGTGCCTTTCTTACTCAACCCTTGAAGGATTGAATATTACCAATTTTGGGGATTTTTGCTGTTTTGTTAGATGGCAGATAAACTTTCAGACATAGAAAGGAGTAGGGAAGTTATGTCAGGTACAGAGAGCGGCAGTGTGAGAGGTGGGACATCAGCATTGAGTGTTGCAGGACATTGGAAGACTGTTACAGTTTATTTCTTACACAGCTAGTGCTCTGTATTAAACCCACTCTTGTTGCCAGTTTCCCAAGATAGAGGCTGATGGCAGTCTCTAAAAATGACTTAATACAGGGTGGTTAACAGACTAAGCTGTAGTCTGTGTGACAGCGGCAGGTTCCAAGATCATATATTCATTTCCCTCCAATTCCATCTATTCTGGATTTCCTTCACCCTTGGCCAGACTTCAGCTAATCTGAGGTCCTTGCCTGGTAGTGTGACCCAGACTATCGTTCTTGAAGGGGCTGAACCTCGGTTTGCCTTTCTCTTATCATGCCTTTGCCTTATGCTGCTGTTGCCTGTTATTACCACCCTTGTAAGCATTGGGAACCACCTAACTAGTAATGTTAGTTACCCCAACATTATAACTCCTTTTTTTTTTTTGCCTCCTAGTCTATCAGCATGAGGAGTCCAAAGTGACTGACAGTTGTTAACTTCAGATTCAGAGTCCTCTGATTAAAAATGTTGCACCATGGGAATAAAGATCTCTGATTCTAGCAGAGCCTAAAGTTGCAGGAATGGGAAACAGGTTCCTTTTTTTTGCTCACTAGGGTTCTAGGAACTACAATCCTATTTCTGTTCATACCACTGGATTGTACTTTTAGGATGTGCTTACTGCAGTGCATCCTAAAAGGCTTACTACTTCTTGATCACATAGTATATGTGGTATTAGTCCTTAGTGCCATGGTTAAATTTTCTAAGCAAGAGTCATGTGGTCTGAGGTAGTCTTATACCCCATATTGTTAAAACTAGGTACCTTTGAATAATGGTGCTGGTTGAGGCACTGAAGGCAGGGAGGGCAGAATTATCAGAAATCGTCAGTGCCAGTGAGGGCAAATTGCTGCACTTTGAGGGTGGAGGATGCCCAGTGTTGTCAAGTTGCCATCCAGTGCTTAGCTCAACTCTTTGAGTGGTTGTACCAAATTGGAGGCTCAGGGTTTGCTTTTGCTGATGACTAGTTTTGGATACCCAGCAGCAGCAGAAGCTGAGCTATGTCAGTATTGAGAGAAGGCTTTACTGACTCCCCAGCAGTTGGTTTGGAATTGCTAACTCTGGTAAGAATGTTTACTCCCCTGCTCTTCTGAACTGGGCTGCCATGCTGCTATTTGGGCTCCCTTGGGGTAAGAGAAGCTCCTGAGGCAGAGAAGTGGAGACTCATGGAACCTTGAGATAGGCCACTATCAGCATGAAGTGGAATGGACAGTCAGTGTTAAGTGGGAACTGCCTACAGCAAATGAGGCCGAGTTCATCCATGGGCTGAGGAGATGTGATACAGGGCAGCAGTTGTTTCTGCTGGATACTAATGCAAAAGAAGGGAAGCAATTCCCTAGTCCATCGTTAGGAGACTGGTTAAATAAGTTGTGGTATATCCACACAATGGAGTATAATGCAGCTGTTAAAAAAAAGCTTTCTATATACCATAAGGACCTTCAAGATATATTAAATGATAAAGATCATGCATTGAATATTGTATATAACTTACTGCCTTTTGTTTGTAAAAGTAAGAAAATAAAATTTTTGTTTATGGTTGCTTTGATGCTAGTAAGTATCTGCGGAGGGGATGGGTGAGAATGGGAGGGAGATGGGACATGGGGGAGGAGCTAGGAAAGAATGGGAAAGAAAGGAAAATGAGAGATGAAACATTTTCCTTAATGCTTGTTTAAAAAATGTTACCTGGTTTTTGTTTGTTTTGTAAGCGAAACCTCTTACAAATGATGAGATATTTATTATTAAGTTTGAATTTTATTTTCATGTGACTTTATAAACTAAAACTTCTCATGGCCTTTGAACTAATCAAATACATATTAAATATTCCCATGCCTGGCAACTTGTCACTCAGTTCTCAGCTTAAATGTTGGGTGGTCATTGAGCCTGACTACTCAGCTCTCTCTCTTCCCATTAAAATTGTCTCATTAAACTTGTCGCCCTGTTTTATTTTTTGTACTTAACTACTATCTGAAAATTTAAAAAAAATTATTGCAGTTATCACTGTTATTTTGTTCATTGTATTTTATCACTATCTGAATTTTTTTTTTTTTTTGCTTACGTATTTATTCTGTGTTTCTACCATTAGAATACTAACTTCTGGGGACTTCCTGGTGGCCCAGTGGTTAAAACTCCATGCTTCCAATACCGGGCATGGGTTTGATCCCTGATCAGGGAACTGAAGTTCCTGTATGCCACATGACCAACCACCCCCCTCCCCCCCCAAAAAAAAAGGAATACTGACTTCCTTAAAAGCAAGGACTTGCTGTACATTGTCCAACATTTTTTGGCATCCCATTTTTTTGTGTGTTTGTGTATACATGGATGTAATATCTTTTCCCCTAAAGATTATTTACTTATCAAGCAGAGAACGTACATCCTTTCTTCTCACTTGCCCTGCCTGCCATCCCCAACCCTCTTTATTGGGTGTCACTTCACTGCCTCTTGTTTTGGACATTTTAGGTATTAAAACAGTCTCATTTTCAGGTACGAGTAAGTTGAGTTCTTTGGTTACTTGTGTAACCACCACCCTAATCAAGGTATAAAATATTTCTGTTCATTTCCCTTTGTGGATTTGACAAAGCTTGTTAGTCGATACTTAAGTGTTCTATTATTTTGTAGTTTACTCTGCATTTGAAATACTGCATACTTTTTATAGGAAGAGTTAATGTTCTTTACTTTTGTTTCCATAGTTCTTTATAGATGTTACCAGTGTTTCTTCTCTTGTATTGTAATTGTCTGTCTCTCTCGTCCCGTACTCAGCCTCTACCCTAGCTGTGAACTACATGGCTTGTTTCTTATCTTTGTATCTCCAGTTTTTGGCACTTAAGAAGCACTTAGTGAATGTTAAGAGTTAGTTTTAGGAGTAGTGTGGATGTATAACTGATGGAGAGACTGTATAGCTTAATGCTTAAGAACAGGGAAACTTGTCTCCATCACTTGTTAGCTACTGTGACCTTGGGCAGTTACCTATTTTCTCTGTGTCTCAGTTTTCACATCTGAAGAAAATGCCATAATGGCTGTCTACCTCATAGATTTGTTATAAAGATTAAGTGAGCTAATAAATGTAAAGTACTTAGACCAGTACCCAGCACTCAAATGCTAGATTAGTATTAACTATTAATTCTTCAGAGTTTTGGGGAAATTAGGTGTTAGATTTTTTTCTTTTTTTCTTGAATCAGGAGTGTGCATAACATTCGTAAATAATAAGAATCTAAGCCTGCAGATCAGAATGACTTGGTAGAGCTGTTCAGAATTGAGGGACTTTTTAGCTAAGGCTATTACGCCCCTGCTTAGAAAGCCAACCTCTGTAATCTCTGGATATCCGTAGCTGCTGTTCTGTATAGATATGTATTTAAATATTCTCAGCCCGTTCTTTTCATACTGTTGTTGGATGAACATACTGAGATGATTGGATGGCATCATCAACTCATTGAACATGAGTTTGAGTGAACTGCTGGGGATAGTGAAGGACAGGGAAGCTTGGAGTGCTGCAGGCCATGGGGTTGCAGAGAGTCGGACATGACTGAACAGCTGCAGCCCATTCTTGCATTCAAGTTTCTGCTCCTGAATCTACAAACGTATTTCCTTTTGCACTCACCTTTGATTTTTCTTTCTTGTTAAAAACAAAGGAAAAAAACCCACCTTTTTACTTGTGTCTAAAGCCAGTCTTGTCACCTGTGTTCCTAATTCCAGCAGTCAGCCATCACATATTTTAGTCCTGTCCTATCCTGGTAGGCTGTGGTCCATGGGGTAGTTAAGAGTCAGACACGACTGAGCGACTTCACTTTCACTTTCATGCATTGGAGAAGGAAATGGCAACCCACTCCAGTGTTCTTGCCGGGAGAATCCCAGGGACGGGGGAGCCTGGTGGCCTGACGTCTATGGGGTCGCACAGAGTCGGACACGACTGAAGTGACTTAGCAGCAGCAGCATGACAGGCACTAAGAGGTACTAGATGAACAAGACAGGTAATTGCAGCCCTTGTAAGCCTAAACTCTTGGGCAAGACAGATGATTTAAGACCCAGTTATAAATACAGTGTGATAAACACTGCAGGTGTGTATGGAGTTCTGCTGTAGGATCATAAATATTTTTGGAAGCCACGGGAGGATGAAAATGTCAAAGGAAAGTAGAAATTGGGGACAAGAAGAGAATTTTGAGAAAGATCAACTTTGTGGAGAACAAAAAGTTGCTAGTGGAGAGATAGGAGGGAAGCAAGGAGGGTCTGGTGTCACAGAGGCTGAACAGAGGAGTGCATCTCAGGACAGAGTGATCAACAGATACTGCTCAGCAGGCAGGTAAGATGTTTGGCTCTATCAGTTATTCCTTCTGCCTTAATTCCATGTTTCCATATTATCTGTTCAGCTCATGAACTCATAATGTTTGTATAGTGAGTTTGTAGGTCTGAGTTCATTTGTTTCTGAGTGTCACATTGTAAGTAGCACAGGTTTGGAAAAAAAGAGATTTGTCAAACTCTCTGAAGCTGTTTTCCTCTCAGATTGGCATGGGAAGAGTTGGTATGGCTCAGGATGCCCCTGTTTCCTTTTATCCTGTTCAGTGGAACTTGTTCAGGTCCATTTGACAAAAACAGTTATTCCTTGATTCCATGCTTTCCTTCACTGTTTTGTTGCTACTCCTGGACCTCCCATTCTGCGCTAACCCTCCTCAAGCTTGATTTCTTCCCTCGTGATTAAATGGAATCTGAACTAAAGCTAAGAACTTCATGTTGCTAAATACAGAAGACTTTGAAGTTGCTTTTGACATTGCTAATCACTTTATTCTTTTTAAAATGCTTCAGTCTTTTTCTGAGGAAATGTATTCTTCTATATTGCTTCCTATTTCTTTGGCTACTTCTTTGTGCTAGTTTTTCTTCTTTGACCCTTTAACATTGGCATATTTGTTCCCTAGCATAGACTCTTACCACTTCTCACTCTGCATGTTTCCTAGGGGACTTCATTCACTACTGTGACATTAAATTAAAGCTTTTGGACAGTGAATAAGCCACAGGGCACTGATGTAAATCTGTAAAGATTAGCATGTTTTTATATGTATATTTTAAATGTAAAATTTTTTAGATTACACAGAATTCAGGCTCTACCTATCTGCTCCTATTTGTAATGAACTCAGAAATGCAGCAGTAATTGAAATACTGCTTTTAATTAGGTAAGAATCAAACCCAAATTTAGGAACTGTTTATATTATTCTTGAATACTGAAAAGTATAAATTTTATATCCTTGTATTAGCTGGATGTGAGAATCTACAAGTAAGTAGATGGACTAAGTACGCTTTAAAAAACAAATTTATTTTATACTTTTAATTTTGTGTAGTGTTGATTTTAATTCTTCTCAACGGTTACTCAGTTTGTTATGAAATAGTTTCTAAAAATTGTTTTGTAAGTTCATGAACAATTCCAATGGGATGATTTTTTTGTTTGATAAACACTGCCCTCCTGTGGTTAAAATAAACTAAACATTTTGTGAAACAAGCAGTCTTTCCAATTAAAATTAATTCCTGGTAAAATAATGCAATAGTAGTAGCTCTACAGTAATAGTATTGTAATGGCAATGTAATGGAGTATGGTATTTTTGCTAACAAATAGATGTGGGCTTTTTATTTTCCTCTTCATCTCTCCCGTTTGGGTTTCTCTAGTGTGTCTGCACATTTTTCTTTTTATGTACATTTTCTTATTAAAAATTAAGGGAATGAAAAGAGTTAAATGCAAATGGAAAGATTGAAAAATATTAAGCTACTGAAGGGAGAATAAATATAGACGTGATAAATCAAAAGAAAAAACTAATGAGCTATAGTATGTGAAACCAATAAAAGCCTCCATGGAAAAACAACAGTAATGAAAGATGAAGAATAAACTGGAAAAAGTATTTGCAGTAAATGTGACAATAGAAATTTTAATATATTTAATATGAAAATGAGAGCTCATACAAATGGTGTATACACGAGGGATAGTGGTTATGAATAACCAGTTTACAGGTTAAATGAGAAAATATAGTAATTAAAGTGCAAAATATATTCATAATGGCATTACGTAAAATTGTATTCATAATGTTCCTAATGGTATGTCAAAGAAAAAAGCCATACCAGTCACTTTTGGCATATACTAGCTAATTATTCTGATAATAAATAGAAGGATAGATTCAAACAATTACCCTGCTTTTTTTTTTAATATGAATAGTCCTCCTGATTCACCTTGACATCTCAGAAAAGAGAGCATAGCTACCCTGTGTGTTCTTGTGTGTGTGTATATATGTGTGTGTGTGTGTGTGTGTGTGTGGTGGCGTGGGGGGTGGGGAGAGTAAACAAAACTGTGATGTTCTTTTGGTAAAATAAAATCTGGATCTGTGCAACCCTCTAGGTAATTCTAATTTTCAGGAAATATGTTCAGAGTACAATACAGTTAGCAAAATACAGAATGTGGGAAATTATAGTACAGTTTTCTTGTTTTTTTTTTTTTTCTTCAGTAAATAAATTGGAAGAAAAAAGGGAGAAATCCATAGATTAAAAGAGACATGTGGTAACAAAATGTGATATGTATGGGTCTTCTTTGTATACTGGTTTGAACAAACTGTCAAAAAAAGTTTTTTCTTCCCCATGAAAATTGAGGACATTGTCTAAATAATTTAATAATTAAGAAACTATAGTTACATTCTAAGGAATAAGGTGGTATTTTTATTTTAAAAAATAGTCCTTATCCTTTTTAAGAGATCTATAATAAGTATTTATGGATGAAATGTTGAGATTTGCTTTAGGATAATCCACTTTGTATGCTTCCCACCTACATAACAAGGATCCACCTGCAGTGCAGAAGACCCTGGTTTGATTCCTGGGTTGGGAAGATCTGCTGGAGAAGGGATAGGCTGCCCCTTCCAGTATTCTTGGGCGTGGCTGCAGGTATGGATGAAGCAAGATAAGCCATGTGTTGACAATTGTTGATTGTAGTGGTCTCTCTGCATTTGTGTATGTTTTAAAATGGTCATACTTAAAAGTTAATGAAGTGAAGTGCATGTATACGCAGTCGTGTCCAACTTGCAACCCTCATGGACTGTAGCCCACCAGGTTCCTTGGTCCATGGATTTTTCTAGGCAAGAATACTGGAGTGGTGCCATTTTCCTACTCCAGAGGCTCTTCCCAACCCAGGGATTGAACTTGCATCTCTTGTGTGTCTTATGCACTGGCAAGCAGATTCTTTACCAACAATGCTGCCTGGGAAGCCCCCCAATTCCCCCTCCAAAAAAAGTTAATAGAGTGCTTGTATTTAATTTATAAACATTTCTTTTTTTCCCCCCAGACTAAATGATATATAGTTCTAAATATTGAGAAAATTTAGCATAAATTTCTAAATTAGGATTAATTTAAAATACCTAGTGTGTAAAGGTATCGGTCATAAACTTATTTTTTAAAGGAAAGTAAACATCTCTTAAGCAGTTTTAACTAATTGGCTTCCTCTATTTTGTTTCATTAAAAAACAGTACACCTAGAAAATTACTGAAAATAATTTTCATTAAGAAAGAACACAGACTATATGACCAGGGAACCCAAAGCTGGTGCTCTGTGACAACCTAGAGGGGTGGAGTTGGGAGGGGGGTTGGAGGGAGGTTGAGGAGTGAGGAGCCATATATATACTTATGGCTGATTTGTGTTGATGTATGGAAGAAACCATCAAAATATTGTAAAGTAATTATCCTCGAATTAAAAATAAAAAGAAACACAGAAATTTCAGGTCTCCATTTCCAGTAGCTTAATGTCTTGTCAGCATATTAAGTATTTATATTATAAATAGTAAAGTTCAGCTATATTAAAGTAATTCCTTGCTCTGGATAATAATTTAGAAAATACTTTTACTATTACCATTACCATGGATAATATGAAACTTTTAAATTCTAAATAGAGTTCATTTCATTCTGATAGTCGATTAATTGTTACTTTTCAGTGAAGATTTGATATTCCAAAGAAAGTTTTACTACTTTCCACTTCATAGCTCCTTGAACAGAAAGCCACTGGTTCACATGAACAGAAGGGCAACCGCTTTGCCCAGTTTGCTCATCACTACTTTCTGGTAGAGTTGGGATTTGGACTCTGATATTCTGCCTCATTATGATTAATTAACCAAAGTATTCTTGCATATGAATGGGCCTTATTCTGTGATATTTTACCCTTGCTTTTCTTGCAGAATAGCTTACTATTTTATCTTTTTATTTGAATATCTGTGATGTAACTATTAATAGAACATATAAGTGACTTTATAGGGAGTGAAGTCTTGGCATTTAACTTAAAGTTGCTCCATATTTTTGTAAAGTTTAGTTCTTGCCTAATGTTTAGTATTATTGGCAGTCTAGGGCATTGAAATAAATCAGACAGAGAAAGACAAATATTGCATCATCTCATTTATGTATGAAATCCAAAAAAGTTGAACTCATAGGAACAGAGTGTAGATGAATGGTTACCAGGGGTTGAGTGGTGGAGGAAATTGGGATATGTTGATCAAAGAATAAAAATCAGCAGTTTTAAGATAAATGCGTTTTGGGGTTATAATGTGTAGCATGGTGACCATGATTAACAGTACCGCATTATATACTTGAAATTTGCTTAGAGAGTATATCTGAAATGTTCTCACCACACACAAAATAATGTGTGGTAATCATTTAACAATATATACTTAGATCAAGTCATCACATTGTACACCTTAACTTACACAGTGTTGTAAGTTATATCTCAGTAAAGCTAGGGGGAAAATCTGGCTAAAGTAATAAAATTGTGTGTCTGTAGGGGTGGTGTTGCTTGTGCGTGTCTGAGTGTGTTTTAGAGTGGTCAGGAATATCTCTGAAGAAGTGAAGTGAGGGAGAGAGTCCATGAATTTCTGAGGAAAAGCATTGCAAGAGGAGGGAGCAAGAACAGAGGCCCTGAATTAGGAATGAATTGGTTATGTTTGAGAAAGGGCAGGAGGGTAATGTGAGAAAAGTGAGATGAGAGTTTCGTGTAGAATTTCTTAAGTTCTATTAGGAATTCAGATTTTGTTTTGATTTTAATATTTTAAAAAGTGACAGGTTAAAAAATCAGAGGAATATGTACTTTAAGTTTTAGGAAGTTTACTTAACTGTCATGTGAATAGACTGGTGAGTCATTTAGGCTGGTGTAAAAGAAATTTCGGTTTTACATTGTTGAAATCTGCTGTTTCATATTGGAATACATGTGGTTATGTTATACATCGTTTTAATGCACATTTTCCACTTTTTTTGCTAATGCTTATTGCCTACTGTTTATTTTATGTTAGACTATAGAAAT